TTGTTTTAACCAGGCAACTTTCTGGGGTCAGTCCGTGGAGATTTGGGTAAAAATATATACTACTGATTCCCAGGATTCAGTAAAAGCTTGAGTGGAGTAAATAAATGGATTTTTATGTCAACAGATTCACTGTCCAGTGATAAAATGAAGTAGATACACACACACACACAAAGTGCCACCCAAGTCCCCAAGAGGTCCTTGCCCCTCAGTCCTCTCCAAGGCCTATCTCTGTGACTGTCACACCTTTACACTCCAGCTGCTTCTCTGTGGGCCAGCCTCTGCCCTGGTCAGAAACGCTGCAGCCTGCAGGCTTGTGGGAGTCCTGGAGCTGGCTGGGGCCAGAACCTGTGTGGCTGGGCTGCAGTGGGCAGGGCCTGGCTGCTGAGTCTTTGCCTGAGTAGAGAAAAATCAAGTCAAGGGACTCCAGCTTGGGCCAGCAGGAGGCTGTAGGAGACACTGGCAGTGTTCCCCCACAGAGGCTCAGACTAGCGTTCTGGATGCAATGGGGTGTCCTGGAAACTGGATCCTCAGAGGCTCCGGGACTGGCCGGCAGGTGGCTGGTGAGTCACCCTGGCCGACGCCCTTCTGCTCAGCAGCTCACAATGGCTCTGCTGTGTTGCTGCACTCCGCTGTGGCTTGGGTTTCAACTGAGACACAGCCTGGGGACCTTGGAGACACAGAGAACGGTGATGAGAGAAGTCTTTGTGCAGATCTGCCGTGCAGAGGGAGCCCTGGGTCATGGTCAGTGTTGCAGATGAGGAAGGATGAGACGGCACCGCAGAAGCTGGTCTCTGCCACTGGCTGGTGCTGAGGACCCGGGGTGTGATGAGAGAACCCTTGTCATAGGTGGGAAGCCACTGGGCATGTTGGCGGGTCACAGAAACTCTGGGGGAGGGCCTGAAGTCTAACCAAGGCCAGAAAGAGACTGCAGCGTCTTTAAAAGAATCACTGGTGCCATCACACTGTCCCTTGGCACCTGAATAAAGCAAGGAAGGTTGGCTGGGCAGCCCAGGGTCTTCTGGGCTTGGCCATCTGCCCTGGAGAAACATAGAGGCCTGGTTTTGCAGGTGCTAACATTTTTGATCAACTACTGTTAACCCTCAGCCACTGAGCTGTTACTAGAGCACGTTTCGACATGGGGCATGGTAGGCACAAGCTTCTGAGAAGTTAAAGCAGCCCTGTCCTCACAGAACCTCACTCTGGCTCTGTCAGGTGCAGTAAGTGAGGAAACGACCCGGTCCTCAGAAACTGCTAAGCACTATGGGAGAAAACGCACAGAAGGCCAGGGTCTGGTGTTCACAGGGAGGCTCCACTGAGGAGGTTCTTGAGGAATTTTTCTAGACTATGTAGCGTATGAGCTCAGTATTCTACAGCATCCAATCTGCTGTTAATTAGTGTTACTCTGTGTTTAAATTTGGCAAATATTGTCACAAGGCACTTTTGGAGAAAATATTGACTAAAGATAAAAGTATCTTCTAATTATCACTAGGAAACAAAGCACAGAGAAGATCAGAAATCTTTTTTGCAAATATTTTTCTACAATCAGTGTAACCAATTTGGGCATCTGTAGGAGTCACAGATTTTGGTTCCACATACTTTACAATATGCAAAGATTTTTTTTTGTCTGTGTTTTTTACTACGATAATTCATTATAGAAAATTTGGGCTACGTTAAAAAGTGAAGAAAGTGATTCCTCCAAATAACTGAGGAGCCAACTGGCCTTGGGGGAAAGGAGAAAGCAACCCTAACGATGCACAGCAGATGACTACCGGCTGCACACAGGAAGTGTGGGCTGGCCCCAAAGACCACTTCCAAAGCTGCTGTAGCAAAGACAGCATCCAAACCCCCAGCTCCCAGGGTGCCCACCATGATGGGACTGGTGAGGCTCGGATGCTATGTGAACGTGTGCATCCTGATTGGGCTGGCACCTTGGCTTCCCTTTTTTGTACTGTCTGGCTCATGGCTTCTTTATAGGATTCCCCAAGCAGGTGTGGAAACAAATCTTGCTAATCCTGCATGTGTCTGCATGGGGCTCTGGGTTGTAATTACTTCACTACTGTCTCTGGTGCAAACGCCAGGTGGCTGCTAAAATCTCAGAACAGGCATTGGCAGCTTCACACAGATAACAGGTTAGCTCATTAACCCACAGGTTTCCCTTGCATTAAGTGCACTTAACAAGCAACACACGTTCTGAGCCCTTCACGTTGTCAATGTCTACAGGTTTAGCTATTTCAAGGTCATCTTTAAGGGCTTGATATGTCACACAGCTCTGCACCAATGGACTGGGTCATTAGGCAAGGGTCTGGACCTCATGGGAGTCACATGGGGTGGCCACTGACATTCAGCCCTGGGGCTCCTTCAAAGGTCTTGTGTCCTCCCCGTCAGTGGCAGTTTGTGGACAGATCCTGGTACTCTGGTTCCTGATCACCCAAGACAAGGACTTGGCCAATTGCCTGCCCTTTGGGGACAAGGTCATGCATTTTTAAAAGCAGTTGGGAGACCAGCTTCTGGGACAGCCACCAGGCCCAGGCTCATCTGTCCCCAGGAGCCACTGGCCATCAATAATACAGTTCCCAGATGCAACCCAGGAGCCATTCCAGGGAGCTCTGATGGCTCACGGCCAACCTGCAGAAACTCCAACAGGGCAGGACGGGCCCATGGGGACTGGGACTGTAGTCTAGCGGCAGTAGTGGCCTCCGCCTGTGCAGGGCCTGGTCCCAGCCAGTCTAGGTATCCCGGTCAAACACCTTCCTCCACCTGTGTATTACTAGAGCTGTGTGGAGGGAATGGGTTCTTATGGTTTAGATCTAAAATGTCCCCAAAAGTGAAGGTGATTGGATCAGGAAGGTGCTGCACCGTGACTGAATGTGCTGTAGGTGGGCCTGGTTGAGGTGATCACTGGTATGTGATCTGGAAGGGCCTTTTTTCTCTGCTTCTCCTCTTTCTGCTTCCCTGAGACCATGGGGTGATTCGCTTCCCTTCCCCATGCCCTTCCGCCATACCACCATGCGGTTCCTGTGTTGGAGCCAGCTGATCACAAACTGAACCCTCAGAAACCATGAACCAGAATAAACCTCTCCTCCTTTACACTGTGGACAGCAGAGGTTTTGCCCAGCAACGGGAAGGTGATGAGTACACTTTCTCTCAAGACTTCAAGGAGGCAAGCATGATCCTAAAGCCGTCCAACCTACCAACACTGGAGTCTCCTGGGAGCTTGTCACAGATGCAGACGGGGTGCAGCTCAGTGGCACCTGCAGATTGATGGGTGCTCCCTCCACATGGGGGCCTGAGTGGCCGAAGGACCTCACAGGAAGGTGCTGGCTCTCTAATTGCTGAAGCCACAGCCCAGAGTCTGAGCAACACAGCAGCCTCCATGGGCCCCAAATGCTTCGAGGACCCAGTGCTCTGGACAGGTCAGCTCCCCTGGCCCAGTACCAGTGACCATTGTGCTGGCAGGCACAGGCTGTGGGTGGCCCCCTCCTCCCCGCCCCAAGGCAGATCATTTTAGGGATGGGAATTGTTGGCGACACCAAGTAAGGAGGTGAGGTTGCACAGGGCTCGGGTCTTAGACCTTGCCAGGGTGCCCCAGGGTCACTGCTCTGTGACTTCCAAGGATGGACAACAGGGCCGTCTTGTTCACATGACTTCACATGCAGAGAAGTGAGGCTGCTCCTGTAAAGTCACAGGCTTAGAAGGACCAGCTGGGCTTCCCTGTGTGTGACTCTGACTCCCATGCTGCAGAGGGGCCTGTGACCATCTCAGGACAGCACTAGCATCCTGAGGGTCCTGGGGCTGAAATGGCCACCTATGAACTGGGTTCCCCGAACAAACCCTGGATTAGCTTTCTGCTGCTGTGATGAAATGCCAGAGACAAGACGTTTAAACACAGGAAAGGTTGACTCTGGCTCATGGTTCTAGAGGCCCTGTCCACAGTGGCTTGAGCCATGGCACTGGTCCCCTGGTGACACAGGACATCAGGCCTGGAGCATGTGACAGAGTAGGCAGTGCCAGGACATCTCAGGGTGCTGGCTCCCTGGTGGAGAAACACTCATACTAACCTGGCCTGGGCAGCAGTGGGCTCTCCAGCTAGTCTGGGGTGAGACTAGAAACAGAACTGCAAGCCTTCGAGAAGCCCCTTGGACTGCAAAGTCACCACCCTTGCTGTACCTGTGCACATGATGCCATCATGGAGGGTGCCCAGCATGCAGCGCTGCGCTTGCCTGGGCCCTCATGTCCATGGGACCTGGGCTTCAAGGGAAGACGGACAGTGCCTCTCAGGTTACCATCTGCCTTGAGCACCTCAGTGTCTCACCAACCCCGGGTACCAGACACCTGACTTCATCAAAAGGGGCAAAAAAGACAACTCCGGAAGTACAGACTCTCAGCGATTTCTGTGTACTGGGGCTTAAACCGAGGGCCCTTGCACAGAACTGCATCCCTGTACCTGATTTTTTGAGACAGGATTTCACTAAGATGCCACGTTGCCCACGCTGGGCTTGAACTGGTGCTGACCATGCCTCTTGAACTCCTTCCAGGCTTGACTGTGTGGGGCTGAGCCCTGGGGTGGAGCCCAGGGCCAAGCCCTGGTGTCCCAAGGAGTGGCCCTGTGCCCTGGCTTCAGTGTCTTCCCTGAGAGTGGATGACAGCAGAGCCATGCCAGGGCCGTGGGGAGCAGCACGAGCTCTCAATGTGGCAGGAGCTGTCTCAGCTCTGGGGACACAGACATGCCAGCAAAACCGGGGTCACCACGGAGGGCCCACCGAGCACAAACCCCAGCTAATGACAGCTCAGGAGGTAGATTCCTTCTAAACCACAAGCTCCAAGGAGTAGAGCCTGGTCAAGCTCGACTTCCTGGGTTCTCCTGGAGTTTCACCAGCTTTGGAGACTGGAAGTAGTGGGAAAAGTACAGGGGTGACACGGGTGCCCGGGGCGTTCTCTGGGGCCGTCACTCCTCACTCCCCACTGGGGCCCTGCTCCCCACCAACACACACACGCGGTCCTTGTAGTACTTTTTTTTATTACAATATCCAAAAAACTGGGTATGCAAGTTTAGGGGTTCTCAAGACACCTACTTCAATAGTAGGAATGTGCCACCCCAAGACTGTGTATTTCAACTATAAAGAGGTTCAGATGTAGAGAAAAAGGAAAATGCGATTTCTTAATAAACATTCTGTGTGTCTCTTCCTACCATCACATATTCTTTTGTAAACCCTGAAAAAATTTCCCTGTAAAGCAAATAATATATATATAACATACACGTATTATACATACACATACACATACCACGTACGTGTACGCATACAGTGCGCGTGTGTGTATAAAGTATGGATAGCTCTCCTTCCCAAAGATCACTCTCTTCCTTAATCATCTATTAGTGTCAACAAACGGCTACAGATACGTATTACTTTGAGAATTAAATACATAATTGTGAAATTCAAACAAGCCAAAGGGCAGAGGAGAAAGCACTGTGTGACGGTCCAACTGGGGTCAGTGGCCAACAGCTCCTTCCGGTCACGGGTTCGCCGCATGCGCGGCTGCGAAGGCACTGGCAGTGCCCGGACGCCTTGCCGGGTTCCAGTATTGCTCTCACCCCGCATTCCCTGCCGCAGAGCCGGGCAGGGGTGGCTGCGGGGACTGGGCCCGGGCATCTGCCGCCCCTGGATGGAGGCTGCAGCTTGGGGCAGCACCGTCCAGGTGTGTGCAGCCCCCTGGCTCCCCACTGCCTGACATCAGGGCGGACACCTGGCCCTGGCGCAGTGCTCAGCTGAGGCTGGGAGGTCTGGGGTCACCGGCGGGAGCTACCCAAGCTGGACAGAAAGACAGACTGTATTGCCAGCTGGGCAGCAGGCGAGGTGGCCATGGGGGCCTGGAGCTGGGGGCGCCGCTGCCACTGTCACTGCAGGGCCCGGACGAGGTAGAGCTTCTCGCCATGCTCGCTGGTGAAGATGGGCGCCTTCTTGTAGTGCTCCACCAGCTCGTCCATGCTGCGGAAGCGCCGCTGCCCGATGCAGTAGACGTTGTCCACCAGCTGCACCTTGAAGTGCTTGTTCTTCCCTGATGCTTTGAGGGACACGGAGAAGTCGCTGGGCTGTGGAAGAAGCACAAGGAGGTCAGGACCGGCACCGGCAGGTGGGGCTGTGGGTGCAGCACGGGTCACTGGCAGCACCTGAGCCTCAGGGTGACCTGGAGCCGCCACAGCCTCAGGATGGCGACAAAGGCGGTCCTGGGAGAGTCGCCTAACACAGCAGGCACCCCCTAGTTGGAGCTCTGTCCCCAAACGCTTGCGTGCTCTGCACATGCCAGCAGCTCCTTATCCTACTTCCTGCGACTTCCACCAGGAATGAAACTGTCAAACACCTCCATGTTCTAAGCTCTTTTAACACCAAAGAACTTTGGGTGCGTTTACAGCAGAATCCATATGGTTCTGGAGGAACCTGCAGCATGACTAAGCCCCGTTACTGAGGAGATTTGATCATGCCAATGCTGTCAGTATCTGCCTTTATATGAGGGCATCTGAGAAATACGCCATTATTTTTATTAACCTGGCTTTCATGCCAATTACTGAAAACCACGCAGGAGGGACATTGAGCGAAGCATGCTCTGTGTAAAAATATCTCTGCACACAGTGGTCATCTCCTGGTGACCAGCTGCACACTAGGCTGCCCGGTCCAGACACGCCAGGGCACAGGCATCGCACCGGGGGCCAGTCTGGGGAGGCTGCAAGCTGCTGGGGTCCATGCAGGGAGGTGCGGCTCCTGGCGAAGAGGAGGAGGAGTCTGTGTGCGCATGCACATATGGAGGGTGCAAGCGGGTATGTGTGGGAATGTAAGTGCATGTGTGAATGTGCATGTGTGACTGTGTGTCTGTGAGTATATGTGTATGTAGACACAGGCTACGTGTATGGATATGTGAATGTGTACACGCTTGTGCATGTGTGTGCATTCATCAGTGATGGCATGTAATATATATAGGTGCATATATGTATCTGGGTGTTTATGTGTAAGCGGCTGTGCATATGTGTGTAGGAGCACATGTATGCAAATACGAGCATGTGCTTGTATATATGAGTGTATGTGTGGGTGTGCATGCGTGTGTGTGCATGTGTGCATATGTGGATGTGTACACATGGTGACAGAGTTGGGCAGGGCCCGGAGGCTCAGTGGCTGAAGCTGAGTGGAGGTGAGGTGTGTATAGCCCGGAAAGGACGGAGCAGGAGCTGCCTCGGGTCACTGCAGGAGAGGCTGAGTGGCCCCCACAGCTGTGGTCCCCTTCCAGCTGCTGGACACTAGGTCTCCCTGTCCTTCTCAGCCGGTCGTGCCCTCAGGCTTCAGGGGTGCAGCACCCTTCAAAAACCTCTCCAGCCCTGGCCTGGGGGAGCCAGCACCCCAGCGTAGGCAGCACCTTGGGAGACCCTGGGCTGGTTGGCCTTTGGGGACCCAACTGCTCACCCTCCTCCACATCCCCCCGGAGTCCTCAGCACCATAGAAGGGGCACAAGTCCGCAATGTGAGAACAGCAATTGAGGGCCGGGTCTGGGTGCCTCCCACCACACAGGCCACAGCTGCCCACAGGAAGGGACGGCGCGTGCAGTGTCATCGTGATCATTCCTGTGCACACATCCCGGGATGCAGGGCCAGGGCTGAGTGCCCAGAATTGCCTCGGAGCTCAGGAAGAGACTTCAGGAGGGGCGTTGGGCTATAGAGCCCAGCACTGAGGAGGAGTGGGCGGGAGCCAGAGTGTGGCCGTCGCTCACGGGGGCCTGGGATCGAGGCCATGTGCAAGGCACAGCAGCCTGCACCACAGGGCAACCTTCCAGATGCCACGATGCCCGAAAAGCTCGGCGCCTGGACACCAGCCCTGCACAGGGGCTTTTCCTCTGCAGCCACACACGACAGAAAACATAATCCACAAACTAGGCAGAAACGGACAGAGGAGGATGATGCCTTTACAAGAACAACTCTGTTGCACACTGTAGGGAAAGCCATGTGTGTGTGGACCCCTCTCTCAAGAGTACTGAGCACCTGCCCTTGCCACCTTGCTCGGAGGAGGCACTGCACCTGCTGGGCAGTTCAGAATGGCCTGCATCACGGCCTCTGCCTTCCTGGACCATTTCTAAGTGAAATACGAATGACCTGGACACAAGCAGGTGACCTGACCACGTGACAACCTGGGCAGCTACTGGGAGAATCACAGGGGGACAACAGGGGACTTTATCAGACCACTTGGAGCAGGGAGCCACGGAAAACCGTGGAACTGCCGAGTCCTGGAGTGTCCACTCAGTATTTTCAGACTGCGTAACTGAAACCGAGAAAAGGAAAGCTGGCAGTTGGGGCCACTGCGGAGTGAACAGTGCAGCCTGGTGCGCTGGGGGCCGCAGCTTCACGTGGTGACCACCTGCAAGGGTACACGGGATGGACGGGCCAGCTCCAGCTTTGGCTGTGGGACTCACTGTGTGTGGCTCTGAATGGGAGTGAAGGACTCAGGTACTGCCCACTTCACAGGGCGCACGGGATGGACGGGCCAGCTTCAGCTTTGGCTGTGGGACTCACTGTGTGTGGCTCTGAATGGAAGTGAAGGACTCAGGTACTGCCCAGCAGTACTTCCCTAAAGCGGGGCTGGGCATCCGGTCACTGTCCTGTGCCTGTGTTTCTGTCCTGGGGGACCAGGAGGGACACAGGCCAGTCACACATGCTGTATGCAGCGGTCTACACAAGCCACAGCCGTCGACCCTCTCCCGACAAGCTCTGAATTTCTGAAGTTTTATTTCACTTTCGGGTTCTGTGCCACTAGCATGGAGGGAGTCTGCCCTGTGCTGGGTGGGCCTCAGTTCAGGAGGGGCTGACCCTGTGTAGGTGGCTGGTGCTGGCTCGAGGGATGCTTGAATGAACCCAGCTGAGGCAGCCTGGTGTTGGGGGGAGGCAGAGCAGCAGTGGGTGGTGATAAATACCTGATATTAATTCACCCTGAAGATAGCAAATGACTCTCCCCACGTGGAGATCTGCCCTCAGTTTGAGACCCTGAAATCAGCACTGCGCTGCATGCTTATGGGTACAGCAGCAGTCAGCCCGGGGGCAGGAAGGGTGGTTTTTAATTTCATGGGCTCTGAGCAGAAACCTTAAAGGTAAGGGTGCAGAACAAGCCAAGCCATGCAGGAGCACCGACTGTCTCGGTGTTCTTAGTTTACAGGCAGCAGACTTCCCTCAGGAAACCTGAAAAGGAATGAGACCACCCTTGCGCACACTGTTAGGTGCTAGGGCTGAGTATCCTTCAGCAAGGTGCTGGGGACCAGAGTTATTTCAGGCCTGAGATCTCATATATATGTATACAACCTGTGGCTATAACTTTATACAACATTTGAAATGATTGTGTACAGGGACAGTGGCCTGGGCGTGAACTTTCCACCAGTGACTGCCCCACACCAGCACTCCCAGCCTTTCAGTCTTTCACATTTTGGACCTCGGTGCCTCATGTGCACCAGCCACCCCTACCTGCTGAGTCGAGGGGAGCAGGCCAGGCTCTGCGTCCCAGCCTTGCCCATCACTAAGCATCCTGCAGGGAATCCTGAGGATGCAGACTGAGACCCAGACACGCTCGTCTGGAACGCTGGCTGTCCTGGAGCCTCTAGGAAAGATGCCGATGTGATTTATTGGCCAAGTGGCCCCACAATGAGACCACGGCCACCTTCCTGGCTGGGCCGGCACTGCCCATGGGGATGCACTGCAGAGCATGTGGTCCCCACCCTTCATATAGAGCAGACCCCAGCTGGCACGATCCAGACACGACACCCACTGATACAGTGAGCCCCAGCAGGGAGGCCGGGAACCAAAGCCAATGCGACGGTTCCTCAGAAAAATCAACACAGAATTAGGGCTTGGTCCAGCCATCCCAATGCTGGGCAGATAAGCAAAGGAAATGAACGGGGCCTTGAGGCATCTGTGTGCCCATGTCCACGGCAGCACTGTTCTGGACAGTCAAGGTGGAAGCACCCACACGTCCACCAATGGTGAAAGCACAGAGAAGTGACAGTGTCAAAGGCTGGACTGCTGGGCAACCTTGAAGGGGGGATAGGAGACACTTCCTATACAGGACTGGACCCTGTGGATGTGATGCAAACAAGCTGAACAGTCACCAAAGGACACTCTTGCCCGGGCTGCTCACTCAAAGACCTCGCAGAGCTGCATTCACAGGGGTGGAGCAGGATGGGGTCTCTAGGGGAGAGGGCAGAGCAGGAAGGCTGTGATGAGGGTTCCCTGGCACTGGAAACCTGCTCACTGAACTCAGTGAGGCGCCACATGTCATGTGACAGCGTCTCACGGGTTTGTGCTGCTCTGCAAGTGTCGTGGATTCTGGTGGGATGGTGTAGGCAATAGGTCCTGACTGCCCTAGATGCAAGTGGCCCCCTTAGGCTTGGGAGGGCTCCACGGTGGCGTGAGGAGCGCTTGTCTGTCACCACCAGCTCACGCTCTCTGGGACGGGGACATAGGCAGAGCTGCAGCAACCTGGACTCCCTGGCACCGCAGCTGCGCTGGGTAAGGCAGGAGCACTAGGGCTTCTCTATGAAGCTTCTGCTCCGCTGTTTAGAAACAGTGCCGTGTGCTGCCCGGCCTGGCGAGGTGCGACCAGCATCCCAGCACTCTAAAGATGAGGCAAGAGGATCCCAGCCTCTAGTGCAGCTTGGGCAACTTGGTGAGACTCTGCCTTGAAATAAAGTGAAAAAAGGTCTGGGGACAGAGCTCAGTGCAAGATCCTGGGTTCAATCCCCAGTGCCACCAAGCAAACAAAACAACTCCAGCAGTGCTGTCTGGCACTGATCGTGGTAGTTTTGTATCTGGGGACAACAGTCCTTCAGAGGGCCCCTCTGGAGGGCAGGTGCTTTCTGATCCCATGCTGAGGCCAAAATGGAAACACTTCTTGTGAATTCCCTGCAAACGGTGAAGGAGCTGTTTCCACAGATGCTGGTGCAGTTCTGTGCTGCCAGGGTAGTGCCCACCCAGGGAGCCGAGCCTGACGAGCCTGTGAGAGGAACATGCTTCTCGATGCCAGCAGGCCACAGGCACACTTCCCTATGAGGGTGACGTGAAGGTGGGGT